GCATTCCTGTGACCAAGTGGTTACATGTTACCATACAAATAATTTTATACCCTTTTAGTAGTTTAAAAAATAAGTGATTTTCTTTATACAATCCAATATATATTATCTTCAAATCACTTTTAAATTTGGATATCCAAACATGAAATTCATTTTATCTCATTCAATTATTGAATAATCTTTTTTCACAGATAATCCAAAAAATAACCAAATTCCAGATAACCATACATTAGAAAGATTTTCCTATTCCACAAATAAAGCATTTCAAATCAAACAACTTGATACATATAAAACATAGTTAAATGTCATTAGCTTTTGTATTCTCTTTTCCAGGTTTCCCTAATTTGCAAGATTAAACAGCACAGCTACAAAATAGACTTTTGCATGCTCCAAAACATGAGAAAATTAAAAATGTACACTACCTGTAACCTATGCGAGAACTAGACTTGAAATCATATATTGGAACTTGAACAGGTTTCCCTGCTTTAAGACCCTGTATATTTTCGAGCAAGGTGTCATAATCCGTCAACCGAGGGTCTGTTTCAAATAACAATGAAATTAGAAAGCTGTGATGCATAACATTCCTTCCTATTTCTTCGATATTGACTAATATGATAAACAAGTATAAGTATCTCTTAGATATGAAGAGTAAAAATAAGATTAGATACTAAGGGAAACTCACCTATATTACCAATAATAGATGATAACCCTGTCTCTGTGTGTGTGTGTGGTGGGTGAAAAAGAATCAGTGATTGAGTAATATTTACTACTATTAGGCTAGCATATGTGACTGGAAATTATGACAATGTACCTGGAGTCAATAAATTTCAAGATTAGAAAGTTCCTCTTCTAAGAGTGGTGAAATGATTTTAGGATTATTAGCCAGACTGCATAAAAGAGATGGCTGTAGACGGTAGTGGTGATTTTTCAGTGCCTTTAGCGATTGTCTTGTCTCTCACCCCATCATTTGATCTACTTCAAAATTTTCGAAATATATTTTGTCTAATAAATAATGATGTCTCGTTGATGTTTGTTCATATTTAAGCTGGTAAATTTCTAACTCATATATGTTGAACATGTAACAGCTCGGAGGCACTGCAATCTACTCTGTGCCAAGAAAGTAGAAAGGGCCCATCATACCACTCTCACCTCTTCTAGATTTTCATTATTTCCAAAACGCCATATGCAGTCATTATATGTTAGGTAAAAATTAAATAGATGAAGAGAGAACTTACCATCAAAGTTTCCATCAATAATTCTACTAGAATCATTATAATTGTCCATTGTTATGACAGCTATGCTTGGCATAAAATTGAGGACCTTCTCAGTGAAAACAGTTTTCCCTGCTCCAGATGGACCTGCAACTCCTACTAATATGATTCCATCATTCTTTTGAGCCAACAACTGGCATGCACGAATAAATATGAAGAATCCTTTCTCAAATGACAAAGAATCTTGGATAGGAACAATTTCATAGCGATCAGAATCCTTTCTTTTAACCGCTTGAACCTGATCTCGTAAAAGACGTCGCCGAGGCGAGTCAGCACCAGAAACAGTATTTTGTGCCATTAGGGAAACCAAAGTTGCTCAAGCCATACTCTGCAGAAGAGGAAAATGGCAATGAAAGTGCCACAGCAGCAAAGATGGGAACCAAACTGGGACAATTAATGACTCAAAACTGCATAAAATTGCACATGGAATCAAGAGATGGCATTTTGGCATTTCCAAACATATACAGAAACCAAAGTAATATAATTTAATTTCCACCTTTGCAGCTTACAAGCTTACTGGACGTGTCAACTGTAATTTGATAATTCATAATTGCATAATATGCATTCAAATGGTTATAAACAACTCCAACTCATGACTATCAATCAACCTTTTTATGGCCAATCAAAATCAAAGGTTCACAATCTTACTAGAACAACATCAAGGGTTCAAATATATGTAAGGAAATTAAAAAATAAATAAAAAATAAAGTCCTAAAATTTCATCCTATAGAGTATGAATTGAAACAAATAAGTACTCCTACATTATAGCAAAATCATGAATAGAAGGGATCCAACTTCCACCATCCCATGGTTTATAACGGTAACGAAAATCCATATCACACTTTCACGTCATCTATTCAATTCATAAATGCATGGAGGTTAATTTCCTCCACAAGGCATGGTCATGTTATCTAATTTGGCTTCTCATGAATAAATCAAAAGTAGTGCTATCAACTATTACAGATAATTGTAAATTTTCAGAAATGGATATAGGACTTGTATGTGCTAATTAAATCTGCAGCTGATTTCCTTTAATTGCCGTTTTGACAACATTTCTTTACAGTCGCAAACAAAAATGGGGGAAGTATACATTCCCACCAACACATCACACGATAATTCACAGCAAAATGCGTGTGAAAAGAAAACTAACTGAAGATCATAAACCTTTTTCTTGGTCCAATTATTCTGAATCTCTAGAGAGAAATTTAGAATATAAAAATGATAAAAATAAAAATAAAAAAATTAAACAATTATTTTTTTGTTATGGATTTCAGACTCTGAAAAACATTACAGGAATTGAATTCAAGTCTTCAACCAAACGATGCATTACTTAGGAGATAGGAAAGTAAAATTGAAATAGAAATAATTATGTATAGTATATGAAGCAGAATAGTGAACAGATTTAAACAAACAAAATAAAAAAATAAGATGAACTGGAATCAAAAGAAACTAGTAGAAAAAGTGAAAGAGCAAAGTCGAACTAACCTCTTGAAAAGCAAAGGAATATAAAAGGAAAAGAGATGCGTTAAGTCAAGTTGGTGTGAAGGAAGACAGAGAAGAATTGAACGAATTTGCCGGCGGCTGCTGGATTCTAACATTTCTATGTTCCACACAAAACAACACGTGGAACGTCGTCATAGGATAATCGAAGGACACGAGTCACAGAGATTTTGCATGTCTCCTCACATCCACAACTCGTTTATCAGTAAATTATGTTTTATTGCTTTTTACTGATGTTAAATTCTCAAATAAATTTTCAACTCCTTACCTTTTATATACTATCTATTTAATATTATAAAATTTATTAAATAAAAAATATATTAATATTGTATTATTTTAATATTATATATTTATTGAATAAAAATAGAGTAATTACTATGTGTACGAACCACAAATATTTTTCATCACAAGTAATATCATTCATGATTAAGAGTTGAAAGTTATTGTGTTATATCATTTTAGATTAATAATAAAAAAAAAATTTAACATATTTTTTAAATATTGAAATTATACTTAATATAACACAAAGAAAGTATTAGTTTTATTTTTCTATGTAAAAATATTAAAGTGATATTTATTATGGGGGTGAAAAGAGTATAATTTTCATACAATACATAATATAAATTTTATAATATTAAATAATAAAAATTAAGTGATGTATTAAAAATAGAGTTAAAAAAATAAAAGTAATTGTATGTTTATATTTGTTGCATAAAAAATGGGCAAAAAAATTAGTATATTAAATAATGAATTATATACTTTATTTACTAACACATTATTATTTTTATTAAGTAAATTATTAATTTAAATTGAATTAACTTTAAATAAGATTGTTAAAAGAATTAACTCATTTAATAATATTATATATATATATATATAGAGGAGGGTTCAAATGACACTGGTGTAACTTTAACTAAGTGTTACACCGCTCAATAATTTTATATTAATTGTGAATTTTGTAAATCCAACCGTTAAATTGAAAGTTCATATCACTTTATATGTGTATATCAAATTTTGTTAAAATTGAACAACAACTTGAGGGCAATCAAAGTGTTCATATTTTAGTATATTTTGAAATAAATATATTACGTCAATTTTGTTTTATAAAAATGAAGTATCAAATCATCTTGGATTAATATAAAATTTTGTATATATGATCTAAGGGATATAAACTTTTAATCTAACGGTTAGATTTACAAAATTCACAATTAATATAAAGTTATTGAACAGTGTAACACTTAGTTAAAGTTATTGAACAGTGTAACACTTAGTTAAAGTTACACCGGTGTCATTTGAACCCTCCTCATATATATATATATATATATATAATATGATATAATACATCCTTCATGTTATAATTTAAAAATAACATAAAAGAAGATTAGGAAGGGACATTTTTTCTCTCATGAATTACGCTATGTACTTTTTTATCCATAAAAATGAAAATGATATTATGGGAGTTTGAAAATATTAAATATACTCTATTCAATTAATTGAATTAGATTTTTTTTATGGATATTTATATTTAAATTGTGATTATAATTTTTTTATTGATTAGTTTAAATAGTATCTTATATCAAATGTTCAATTGGTTAAGTAAAGTGTATGAATTGTTGTGAGTTTTCTTAATATTGGATTCAATTTCTACATTCTTTTTTTGTTATAAGAGAAAAAGAAGGCAAAAAAAAGGAGGAACTAAAACAAACAATTAAAGCCTAGTAACAACAACGTTTGAGCATCCACATATAAGGTTGAAGTGAGGAACGAGGGTGCCACGTTGAGATCCACGAACAAAAGACCAAAAGTAGCTTACGTCTTTGCCAGAGCATCAATGCTGGAGTTCCCTTAACGCAAGATGTGAGATAAAGAACAAACTCAAGCACGAGCTATCCACCGTTGAACCAATAGAAGCTCATTTGCATAACAATGATGCATGTTGGCTTCCTTCTGTAAAAGATTCACCACTTGTAAGAAGTTGGAGTAATAGATATTCCTATACCCCATGTCCTAACAAAACTCGAGGCCTCTAAGAAGAGCAAGTATTTCCGCATGCAAGATAGAAACATGGCCACAACAGTCATAGAAACCCCAAAGAAAGTGATTGTTATGATCACAACACAAACCACCGAAGCCAGCCACGAAGTTGTTACCTAAAAAATTGCCATCCACATTCAAAGCAACAACGTCATCTTGAGGAGGAAGCCAAGCCACCCATCTAGATGGCATGTTAAGAGCAGACATAGTTGTAAACGTTGTGTGGGATTGTTCCACAAGGACATTGCTTTAAACATAATGCCATGACCTGAAAGTTACCATTTTCAAAGACCAAATGGTTCCTTTCCAACCAGATAAGCCACATAACAATAGGGACCAGGAGACCAAACTTAAAAACCAATAACCTTGAGCCAAACTACAACAGCCCCCTCGTCCAAAGGATGAGTTATGAAGGAGATATTGCAATGACGCCAAATACTCATTACATCATGGCAAAGGAAAAGAGAATGTAAAACTATCTCCACAATAAGTTGACACCTTGAGCATGTCCCAAAATTGATGATATGTTGAGACCAGAATAAAACACACTAGGATAGCAAGATGGAGGACTTACGAAAGAAAAAACTGCACGGTTGCTAGAAGGTGGAATTTCCAAAACCAATTCCAAGAGTCACTCGAAGGGGAGTCAAATGCATTCTCAATCAACCACTTATAGGCACTCTTGGAAGAGTACGTGCAAGACACATCATGCTTCCAAACCCAAACATCTTGAATCCCTTCCACCAAATGGGGTCTAATGGCTAAAATAACATCCACCACCGGAGTTGGAATAACAATACACAAATGCGGTAGCTGCCAATGAGAGTCGATCCAAACTTCCTTAACTGACAAATTCAAACCATGGATGTCCACCTAGGGAATATGTAGAGCAATAGATGTCTTCAATGCCTACGACTGGAACGAAAAATCTGTAGATCCATCACCCAATTTCATCACAAAACCATCTTTGAGACAAACCATGGCTTGCTGAATAGCATTCCATGTGGTGAGCCCTAATGCTATTCTGCTTGAAAGATATTGGCACCTCTCAGATAAATATCTTGTATTAATGAAGCCCAAAGCTAGCCAGTAGGATTTATAAGCTCCCATATCAGCTTCCCTAGCAAAGTAGTGTTCTGATGCCCAGTCGTACGTTCTCACACCCAACCCACCTTGGTGTTTAGGCCTAGTAATCGTTCTCTAGCCAACCACGTGCAACCTATGGTCCTCCTTACAGGAACAATCATTAAAACTAATTTGTGTGGTACTCTTTACCAACTCCTGCGTTCTCCTATCTACCCCTTTAGAAGCAAATGCTTTTGACTTGTCCAAGTTGACCTTCATACCCGACATATGACAGAAGTTTTCCAACAAATTAGCAACCCGACGAGCTTAAGAAGGATCAACCTTGGTAAATTAAAAAGAAGAACATCATCAATAAAACATAAGATGTGAAATAGGAGGACTAGAGGTTGTAAGTCTAAGAGGTTTCCAACTCCCTTTGGTGACTACATGAGAAATCATGATGCCTAATATTTCCATACAAAGAATAAATAGGTATGGAGAAAATGGATCACCTTGAAAGAGATCCCTCACTGGAGCAAAGGGTCCAGTCCTACAACCATTCCACAAAAGAGTAAGCTTGGTAGAAGAGATACCATGCATGATAAGAGATATGATAATATCAAGAAATCCAATAAGGTTTAGAGTTCGCCTCAAAAACTCCCAATCAATATGATCATAAGCTTTTTTAAGATCAAGCTTAAAAATCACATCCTTATTCTTCCCCTTAGATTTTTGCATATGATGAATAACCTCATGCAAAACAATAGCATTCTCCTTGGTACTTTTTTCAGGATAAATCTGCTTTGAAGCGGGCTAATAATTTGTTGCAAGAAAGGTCATTCTCGACACACCAAAACCTTAGATGGTAATATATGAATCACATTAAAAAGACTGATAGGTTGAAAATCTTTAAACTAAAGAGGCATGTCAATTTTTGGGGATCGGGACAAGAAGTGTATTAGTCACTTAGGGATCAAAATGGCCCACGGCAAAGGCATTTGCTACAAATTTCCAAATATCATCACCCACCTTTTGCCAAACCATTTTAAAGAAAATGGTTGGAACCTGTCTAAGCCATGCGCTTTATAAAATTTCTTAGCAAGAAGGGTGGCATGCACCTCCCCCTTGGTAACTAAGGCAATGAAGGCACTCATCGCCTCAAGAGGGAGGGGGCAAATACTACCTTTAGGTAAGGCTCGAGTAAGAGTCTCCTTAGTGCAAAAAAGTTATTTATAGTACTTCATAGCCTCGCCTTAGAGGATGTTATTGTCAATACACCAATCCCTAAGTTCCTATTTCCGTTGATTTATTGTTCACGACGAAAGAAAAGTGAAGAAAGTGCACGTTTGGTTCTGCTGATTTACACCGAAAGAAAAGTGAAGAAAAGCGAGAGAAACCGCGTTGGCGTTCCTCGCGTTTTTGCGAAGAAAAGAGATGAAAGCCATGTAAGAATTGAGAAAACTCGCCCTGCCCCAAAGCCTGAAAAGAGATGAAGAATGGAGGTACATAATCGATTATGCATGACATATAATCGATTATGGGCTAGCTTATGCCTCAGCATAATCGATTATGCCAGCCCATAATCGATTATGTATGGCACATAATCGATTATGGGCTGACATAATCGATTATGCTGAGGCATAATCCAGCCCATAATCGATTATGTGCCATACATAATCGATTATGGTGGCATATTTTCGCAAATATGCGAACTCAGAACGGACCGTTCTACTTTGGAAACGGACCATTTCACACATGGCAGTTGTGGGTTAATTTGTAATCCCAAAACGGGTCGTTCTGGTCATATTTAATTATTGTTTATTTAAAAAATTCTTAATTTTTTAATTGGTAAAAATTAACTTGTACAATTAACAAAATGTATCTTCATTTCATTCTAATTTATGTCAATGATTTATCAATTTTTTTAATTTATTATTTAACTTTCAAAAATTTTATTGTACATTTTTTTTATATTAAGAAAATTCTATTATTTAAATATTGATATCAAAAAGTGGAAATATAAAAAAAATAAAGTAATACATGTTTATAAAATTAAATAATAACACTTTCATAAACATTAATAAAATAATGTTAGAAAATATAATTATCATAATATATTTTGTTATTATTATTTATTATTATAAATATTATTATTATTATCATTATTATTAATATTATTATTATTTATTATAATTAGTATCATTATTATTTATTATGATTCTTATTATTTTTCTAATATTTATTATTATTCTTATCATTATTTATTATTTTTTTAATAAATTATACCTATTAATATAATTTTATTGTAATTATTATTATTTACAATAAATAATATTATACTCATTTTTAATCCAAGAGTAAAAGTGTAAATTTATATTCATCTATTAAATTTTTAATTTTTATCTATCATTAAATTTAAAGCTAATATTTAAATTAAATTAATTTTAAATTAAGATTTTATATTTATTTTTTTAGTTAAATTTTTTATATTTATCTTTTAATTATAATAATTATAAACTTTTTTTAACTTAAGGGCAAAATAATAATCTTACAAAATCATCAATTAAAAAATTCATTTTTATCTATCACATCAATCAATTCACTCACAAACTTTCTCTACACTTTCTACTCACTTTCCCTTAGGTAGTGTTTGTTTACAGGGATTTACTGTTCACGAGTAAGGAAAGGCGAAGAAAATTGTTGTTTGTTTCCGGTGATTTGCGACGACGGAAAGACGAAGAAAAGGGGGGAGAAGCGTGGTTCGCGTCCTCGCACAAAAGCGAAGAAAGGATAAGAAAGCCACGTAGGATTTGTGAAAACCTCGAAATGCCCATGTCCTATGCATGCATAATCGATTGTACGAAGGAAGCATAATCGATTATGGTTGGCCACATAATCGATTATGGCCTTGCATAATCGATTATGGCTGGGCATAATCGATTATGTGGCCCCGCATAATCGATTATGCTGGGGTATTTGGGCTTCCAGTGGAACCCAGAACGACCTGTTCCAAAAATAAATTTTATGTGCAAAATGCGAACTCAGAACGGGCCGTTCCACTTTGGGAACGGGCCGTTTCATAGATGGACGTTGTGGGTTAATTTGTAACCCAGAACGACCCGTTATGAGTATCAAATTTTGTTTTACAAAATATAATTATCATAATATATTTTGTTATTATTATTTATTATTATAAATATTATTATTTTCATTTTTATTAATATTAATATTATTATTTATTATAATTAGTATCATTATTATTTATTATGATTCTTATTATTTTTCTAATATTTATTATTATTCTTATCATTATTTATTATTTTTTTAATAAATTATACCTATTAATATAATTTTATTGTAATTATTATTATTTACAATAAATAATATTATACTCATTTTTAATCCAACGGTAAAAGTGTAAATTATATATTCATCTATTAAATTTTTAATTTTTATCTATCATTAAATTTAAAGCAAATATTTAAATTAAATTATTTTTAAATTAATATTTTATAATTTTTTAGTTAAAATTTATATATTTATCTTTTAATTATAATAATTAAAAATCTTTTTTAACTAAAGGGCAAAATAGTAATCTTACACAATTATCAATTAAAAATTTTAATTTTATCTATCACATCAATCAATTTACTCACAAATTTTCTCTATACTTTCTTCTCACTTTCCCTTAATCCAAATAACTTCACTTTCCATTCAATTTTCCTTCAAATCTCTCCTTTTTCACTCTCCCTTTTCCATCCTCAAATCTAAACAAAGTCTTAAACTTCCGTATTTTCATCTATTCTTATTTTAATTAAAAGTTGAAAAAAAAAAAAAAATTCGTACATGAGAATATAAAAGAGTATATGAAACCTGAACCACAATCACAGATTCACAGTCACGCGATTCCTTTTTCTCTTGCCGCCAATCCCAGCTCCCCGAACTTGAAACTCGAGTCCAAAATACAGAATAAAGAGGAATAATAAATAAAAAAAATAAAAATTTGATTAAAAATAAATAAATAAAAATATATGAAAAATAATATATAGAGAAATAAATAAATAATAGATGAAATTTTCCATTTTTTAATTTTTCACACTGTTATTTATTTTCGAGTATTGAACATCCTATCTTGTTTTCACTCTTTTATTTTTACTTTTTTTATCCTTTTTTTTTTGCTTATTTCTACTTTACCAAACAAGCCACGAGTTTACACACAGAATTCATTGAGTAATCAATAAAGCAGTACATAAGTACTTGTAGCGTCTCTGCGTGCAGAGGAACACGTTAATTATGACAGGAGGACTCTTCTAAACTTTTCTATTTTTATATATATATATATTATCATATTATTAATTATAATAACATTAAAAAAAATAGTAAAAAATGAGAAATTCTATTATTTTTTTAATTAACAAGATTAATTTATATATAAAAAATTAATTTACCACCCCCAGATTCTTTATCCAGTAGTGTGTGCGTGTGAGTGTGAGACACTGAAGTTTTGGTTGTTCTGAATTAGAGAGGAAAGTGAAGCGAGAATATAGTGATGCATCTAAACGGAACACCGTCTTCTGTAGGATTTCACATGCCTGCGGAGTGGGAAAGGCACTCGCAGTGTTGGATGGGTTGGCCTGTGAGCACACGACGTCCAAACTCCCTTAGTCTTTCTTTTTCTTATGACAAACTGAGTGCTGTTGCGTGACAGGAACGCGCCGATAATTGGCGAGACGCTGCCGTTCACGCCCAACGTGTCTTTGCCAGGGTGGCGTCTGCGATCTCAAGTTTCGAGCCTGTAACCGTTTGTGTTAGTTCTGCGCAGGTATCTTACATATTATTATTATTATTATTATTAATTAATGGACGGTGTCGTTTTGGTGACGCTTCCTTTGTTGTACAATCTCAGTGGGAGAATGCGCGGAGTCAGCTACCGGAACATGTCAGAGTCGTTGAGATGAGCATGAATGATTCTTGGTTTCGTGATACTGGACCCACTGTGAGTCTCTCTCCTTCTACACTCATGAATTCTTTGCTCATGTCAGCAATGTGTGTTTCCGTTTATAAGCATGCACAGTGTGGTTTGCTTTGTTCAATAGTTTGTTGTGAGAAGAAGCACGACCGCGCTGGAATCTGCTGATGCGGATCACAGGATTGCGGGGATTGACTGGAATTTTAATAGTTGGGGAGGTAAGCGCTTGGACTCTTCATATGTGGATCTTTTTATTCGAAGATGGATAGTTAGAATGTGTGATTTGAAGAATATATGGTTAGAAGATGCATATGTGATTTGATTAGTATTAGTATGTGTTGATTGTTGGTTCTTCACTAGTGGAATTTTATAAACTTTTCAGGTTTGGAAGATGGATGTTACAGTGATTGGACTCTTGATTTGCTTGTGGCTAAGAAGGTTTCGAAAGTTGAATGTTTCACTTATTTATATATTTATTTGGCTGTGTGAATGGCTCACCTGATTTTTTTTTTTTCATCATTTGGTTTGCTTTGCTAGATTTTGGAAATTGAGAAGATTCCTAGATTTCCTCATTCGATGGTGCTTGAAGGTGGAAGCATCCATGTAGATGGAGAAGGTAAGAGATATACATTTGTTGCCTTGTTGAATATGCATTTTTCTAGTTTAAAGAAATATTTAACCAAACTATGGATATAAAATAGAATTTGACTGGATACTACATGCTTGGTATTTGGAATGTTTACATCTATAAATAACCATAGTTTTACGGCTGGTTTATTCAGGAACTAGGATAAGTGGCAGCTACGCAGGACAACATTTTATTAGTTGTATCCACGGATGTGATTTAGATCATTTTCATCACTTTCATTTCAATCTGTCCTGATATCAGATCGTGTATACTTAGATTTACTGCTCTATACCTGGATCTTCTTAATGAATTAATGATTATAACTTTACAGTTTTTCTGTTTACTTGAGAAATTTTTTCTTCCTTCAGGAACTTGTCTTACCACAGAAGAGTGCCTCTTGAACAAAAACAGGAACCCTCACTTGAGTAAGAACCAAATAGAGGATGAACTTAAGACATATCTTGGAGTCAGGAAGGTTATATGGTTGCCTCGTGGATTATACGGTATATAAACTTGATGTTGACCTTTTTAGACTAAGAATTTCTCTTAATTTGATGGTGTTTTTTTAATCAGGATATTCAGTGAAAAAAAATCATATGTACCATTAATCACGAGTTGTGTGGTACAAGGTTTGATAGTTGATACAGATTTATTTCCTGACACGAAAAATTATTCTTTTGAGAATTTTTTTTTTTTTGATTCAACCATATAATGATACTTGTATGATAAGTAAAAAACTGTCTGTTCTCTTGTGCTGAATGCACTTTCTGCCAGGAAATTAGCTTCTGTGCATTTGATCATGATTTCACCATTTACATAAAAGGCTCCAGACCTTCACAATTACTCGTATATTGATTGTGTCACCCAAGTACTTTCTGCATTGAAGAATGAAACTAAAAATAAGGTAAAATTGACAGATTTCTTTCCATCTTTCTTTGGATGAAAGCTGATCCCAAAATCTGGAGATTCTGCCTGGTAACCAGGAATTACGAATTTGGCCTTAAACTTACTTGAATATGAATAATTTCTTATTATTAAATCTGAATGGGCCACACAGAATAGAGTATGCATATAAATAAAAAATATATACACATAGGTCTAACCTGGGTTCAACAAGTTAATATAAAAAAAATAATATCAACCTAGCTACTCTAAGTAGCCATAAACAATAAAACATCAGCTCCATCTGCCAGCTGCAGTCATGCTACTACACTCCAACCTATCCCTGCTCTGCTCCCATACATAGTATGATCATTGCAGTCCAACCCATATGGAAACAGGCAAGGGTAAACTAGTGAAAAGAATGAGCATATATAGAATTTATAAACAGCTTCAACTTAATAGCATATCATCAAATTCAACAAAGTTGACATACAACACATAACAACATACATCTACATCTCAGCTTCACAGTACATTGCTCACATACAGCTCATATCATTTAGCAATTTCAACATCTAACAGTTTATGCATCGTCACCCATTTCAACTCGATTTGGTCGCTTGTAAGCGGTATAGCTCGACTTGCGAGGGATCTTTCCCTCTCTAATTCGCAATTTTCTTGTAGTAGAGTTTTCTTTTGTAATTGATATGTGTTGTGTCAATTGTTGGTCATGAATAAGGAATGAATGCATAAAAATGGTTCTTTTAGATCTATGGAAGGATACTTATATGTGTCTTAAACGTTATTGATGTTTATAGATGTATATGTCTACCTTTATGTCTTATATATGTTGTGTGTGGATGTCATGTATTCTCACTCCCTATGCTTGTATGTTTGTATTTGAGCTGATCTTCACTTGTAGAACTAGAATAGGTACAAGAAGATGTGTTTGATGAGGGTGAGGCATAAAGAAAGTGATGGAAACTTCTTGGAGAATCTGGATGGATGATGGATTTTCCACCAAGTTCTTCCCTAGACCTTTGGCTCCTTAAGTCTTCTCAAGTTTCTCCAAAGCCTCCTTAAGTAGAAGAAGCTTTGGTTTTCACCTTAAGAGGTGAAGAACACTCTTCAAGTGATGCCACTCCTTGGAAGTATCATGGTTGGTTTGGAGGAATATATAGGAAAGGTAAACTCCCAGGGAAGCACATAGCCGTGGACTGGTTCATGCAACACTGTCGTTGTGGTCTCATATTGAAGCATAAATTAATTTGTGTTGCATTGTTTATGTCAGGAATGCCGGAAGTTTATGGGGGCTATTCTACTATTATTCTAGATGTGCTACTTGCTACAAATGCATGCATCAGCAGCAGTGTTCATTGAATTCGTGAGTCGTGACTGACACTCTGCTGGTAAGACTCGTATTTCTCTGGAAAATGTCCGGCCAACAATGTAGAAAAAATTACCTATTATAATTTTGAGGTGAATTTTGTAACGACCCACCTAGCCGTTGCACAACAAACAACACCACACAGAATAGAGTATGCATATAAATAAAAAATATATACACATAGGTCTAACCTGGGTTCAACAAGTTAATATAAAAAAAATAATATCAACCTAGCTACTCTAAGTAGCCATAAACAATAAAACATCAGCTCCATCTGCCAGCTGCAGTCATGCTACTACACTCCAACCTATCCCTGCTCTGCTCCCATACATAGTATGATCATTGCAGTCCAACCCATATGGAAACAGGCAAGGGTAAACTAGTGAAAAGAATGAGCATATATAGAATTTATAAACAGCTTCAACTTAATAGCATAACTCAATTGAAGAATCATTGGGAGGGACAACAGTATGTGATTGACGCTCATAGGTTATCCCAAATCGGTGTAGGGGATGGTCAGACCCTGGTAGTGCGGGAGGATCTGGTGCCTCTATTTTCAATTGTCTTTGCTGTTCACTATCATTGTTGCACTCAAGTGTGACCTATGATTTGACCTAGTTTATCTCCCTAGAAGCTAGTTCTACAAGGGTCATCAAAAGAAGACTAAGAAAAGGAGGAGGAAGGAACATTGGTGGCTCTCGGATTTGGATACTCAAAAACATACACCTAAACACTTGTGGCTGGAAAATTGTTGGTTGTTGGACTTGCTCAGCCGTGAAGACCTTTGGAGATTCAAATTGATTTTTTGTAATTGAAATTTAAAAAAAAAAAATAGAAGTATTAGTGACGGATTTAGAGACCAAATTTTCCTTACTAACTTGAAATTTTGTTGCAAATTGGTCACTAATCTTTCACTAATTCTTGGTGGCTGTTTTAATTTCTTCTTAAGCCACTTGTTTCCTTTGTTGTTTAGCTTTGTATATACCTTGTAATTGGCCATTTAAAGGAGTGTCTTGGGAGTGTCTTTGGTACACATCCATCTCTCCTTAGGTGTTCATTTTCATTAGTACTTGGTGAGAGTGGTCCTTGATTGTTTTAGTGAAGAGGGGTCAAGCTGCCAGCATTGGTTATAGCTGTTGCGTTTTTTAGAATTTTTAACAAGGTAGATGAAGGAATTAGGACTTGGTGTCTTCATGAGAGTTGTAGGAAATCTTCTTATCTTTCATATGAGATAAGGATGAGCATGATAGGAGTAGTATAACTCCCGATAATTAATCTTCGGATTTCCTACATTTATATTGAATAAACTACTTATTGGACACAGGAGAATATTTCAAATAAAATGACCAGAGTCTTTAAGAAATTCGAGTGCAATTTTACTTTAATATTGGTAAAGGATATCATGTTTGTGAGATATCATGGTTGGTTTGGAGGAATATATAGGAAAGGTAAACTCCCAGGGAAGCACATAGCCGTGGACTGGTTCATGCAACACTGTCGTTGTGGTCTCATATTGAAGCATAAATTAATTTGTGTTGCATTGTTTATGTCAGGAATGCCGGAAGTTTATGGGGGCTATTCTACTATTATTCTAGATGTGCTACTTGCTACAAATGCATGCATCAGCAGCAGTGTTCATTGAATTCGTGAGTCGTGACTGACACTCTGCTGGTAAGACTCGTATTTCTCTGGAAAATGTCCGGCCAACAATGTAGAAAAAATTACCTATTATAATTTTGAGGTGAATTTTGTAACGACCCACCTAGCCGTTGCACAACAAACAACACCACACAGAATAGAGTATGCATATAAATAAAAAATATATACACATAGGTCTAACCTGGGTTCAACAAGTTAATATAAAAAAAATAATATCAACCTAGCTACTCTAAGTAGCCATAAACAATAAAACATCAGCTCCATCTGCCAGCTGCAGTCATGCTACTACACTCCAACCTATCCCTGCTCTGCTCCCATACATAGTATGATCATTGCAGTCCAACCCATATGGAAACAGGCAAGGGTAAACTAGTGAAAAGAATGAGCATATATAGAATTTATAAACAGCTTCAACTTAATAGCATATCATCAAATTCAACAAAGTTGACATACAACACATAACAACATACATCTACATCTCAGCTTCACTGTACATTGCTCACATACAGCTCATATCATTTAGCAATTTCAACATCTAACAGTTTATGCATCGTCACCCATTTCAACTCGATTTGGTCGCTTGTAAGCGGTATAGCTCGACCTGACCCCTATACCGTGGTCGATTTGTACACGTGTGCCTTAACCTTGCCCACACACGAGACCAACTAAGTACTTAGAGGAGAACAACACAGTGACCACTCTAAGGGACAACTTCCCAAGGAGGGTTTTCAACAAATTGGGCTCTAAGAGCACCACAGCTTCCTCAATCCACACCAAGGGATGAACAACTTCGAAAAACATCTCTTCTAGTCTTAGTGATCAACAGCTCAGCCTTACGGCCTACACAGCTCATATTCAATAACACAACTCAACTATTTTAAACAGCATATTCAACATTCAAGCACAACTCAACATAATGGCATTAACAGCTTAGACGACATACAACATAGCTCGGCTTAACAACATTACTCAGCATAAACATCATACAGCACAGCTCATCTTTAACATCATTAATCAGCATAAACAACATTCAGCACAACTCAGCTTCACACCATTAACAGCATAAGCAACATACAACACAGCTCAGCTTCACATCATTAACAGCATAATGTAATATCTTTTCAACACATAGTACAACATACAACTTTCATCTAACAACTTAGCAACTTTCAACATAACCAAATCACTCCTTGTAAAATGACAACCTTCACATAAGACAGCGTATCGGGAGTTATACTACTCCTATCATGCTCATCCTTATCTCATATGAAAGATAAGAAGATTTCCTACAACTCTCATGAAGACACCAAGTCCTAATTCCTTCATCTACCTTGTTAAAAATTCTAAAAAACGCAACAGCTATAACCAATGCTGGCAGCTTGACCCCTCTTCACTAAAACAACCATGTACCACTTAAACTGACAAACATACAGCTCATATCATTTAGCAATTTCAACATCTAACAGTTTATGCATCGTCACCCATTTCAACTCGATTTGGTCGCTTGTAAGCGGTATAGCTCGACCTGACCCCTATACCGTGGTCGATTTGTACACGTGTGCCTTAACCTTGCCCACACACGAGACCAACTAAGTACTTAGAGGAGAACAACACAGTGACCACTCTAAGGGACAACTTCCCAAGGAGGGTTTTCAACAAATTGGGCTCTAAGAGCACCACAGCTTCCTCAATCCACACCAAGGGATGAACAACTTCGAAAAACATCTCTTCTAGTCTTAGTGATCAACAGCTCATCAAACAATCAACCACGAACAGAAACCTAACAGCCACAAAACTCCGAGACAGCAACCAATCAACACCAAACGACCACGAAACTCCGAGGCCGCAACCAAACGACCTCCAACAGACCACCTAGAGTGTGACCCACAACCTGAAAAGGGTCAAAACGAGAAGAGGGAGGGCCGACGAGTCCAACGAAGTAAACCACGTCGCAAACGGAGGCTGGTAGGGCGGCGCGTGAAGCCCACGCGTCGGCGAGCTTCCTCAACGAGAACCGCGCGTGGGAGCGCGTGAGGCAGCGGATGACGGCGGCTCGTGACCGAGAGGCCGATCGGCGACCTCTGAGTGTGCAGGCGGTGTCAATTCCGGCAACCGCAGACAAAATTCGAAAAACCTAGAAACCCTAAATGTTAGCGGCTGTATTAGGGTTCCTGGACCAGAGTGCTCTGGTACCAACTTGAATATGAATAATTTCTTATTATTAAATCTGAATGGGTACAATAAAATAAATAGGCATAAAACATAATCAATCCCTAAAGTTTAGGGATTTAGATAAAACTGACTAAAGAGAAGATAAACTAGTATATCTAAACTATATCTTATAGAATTATCTTAACAATCTCTACAGCTAATTTTCTACGGAAAGAAACAAGAATCTGGTAGTCGTTTTATTTTGTTATGATGTTTTTATGACCGTCTTTGAGGACCCTTATGTTGCTACTAACTTTGTCGCACTGCTACTTTTTTCATGCTTGAACTCCAACCAAGGTAGTCTTTTTTAAGAGCATATAACTGTCCCACTGTAGAGATAATCTGGAGACTGGAAATATTGTGACACATAGGTTTGAAGTGGTCTTTAGATTTTATCTATTTTCTACATTCTAATATGCATCGTTTATACAGGAGATGATGATACAAATGGTCATATTGATAACATGTGCTGTTTTGTGAGGCCTGGTGTGGTTCTGCTGTCCTGGACTGACGATGAAACTGATCCTCAGCATGAAAGATCTGTAGAAGCATATTCTTTGCTTTCAAGTGAAACAGATGCTAATGGTAGAAAGTTTGAAATCATTAAACTCCATGTTCCTGGTCCACTCTATATGACAGAGAAAGAGGCTGCTGGGATTTTTCAGGTAAACAACCAACTTCTTATTTATTCCCTTTTCCATTTATTTTTCTCTCTCATGATTGTGAATAATAATAAAGAAGATTAAGCTATCGTTATTATTTCCTTCAATTAAAAAATTGTAGAAATAATTATCATAGTGACCCAATTATCATTGTAGTGTGTATCTTTAAATGATGCGATGCAAAGTTTGTTGCCATACAGTCATTAGTTATAGAAGTTGAAGATGTCATATTTGAGCTCATTCTTTTCATTCATCTTGACTGCCTTTTGGTTAGTACCAAGTTTAAATGTTGGTTGCATCTGTGAAACATTTTTCATTGGATTGGGTAGCACATGGAAAACTACATAAGTAAACAGTAATTTTGTTTTAGTCCACTTGTACACTTGTTTGGATTTGTATGAAGAGTCAATAAACATCTGTTTTGGTTGGCTTGTATCTCTCTACTCTCATGTATTTGGTTCATTGTATCTTTAAAAGAATATGTATATGCTTAAGTGGAAAGTTTAGTGTCCTAGATCTAGTTGCTAGTTGCAACCCTATCGTTACCTCTCTACGATAGTTCTGTATGTTAGGTCAACATGAATTTCATTTGCAGTCAAAAAAATGAATGAAAAGTTATATTTTCAATGGGATATTGGGATGTAATATCAAGAAGAGCAAAATACTAGAAACCGATCATCTGGAATCTATGTACTTTGGGAGTTAGAGTGATTTATGATGCCAAGCACTACGATCTTTCTAAGCAGTTAGGAACCAGTCAGCTATCCAAGGCATACTTTTGAATGAAGATTTTAGTTTTCAGTTTATGCTTTCAAATAAGTAAAACATGGTGGCGTAAACTAGACAAATATTCCAAACAAATTTTAGAAACAGTGGTTTGTAATCAGTGAGAGTCAATGTGATATTTTAATAATGGCTATGGGCTATGCTACAACTTATGAAGATAAATATACCGTGTTTAACGTAATATTGATACCCTTCTGAGTGATAAATTATGAACCAGACAGAATCAACTTCCATTTAATGCTTGTTCTGGTATTATTCTATATTTGTCAGGATGATGAGGCTAAGCCGAGACCTGAAGGTACTAGGCTTGCTGCTTCCTATGTAAACTTTTACATTGCAAATAAAGCTATCATTGCACCACAATTTGGAGATAAAAAGTGGGATGATGAAGCTGTCCGAGTCCTATCTAAGGCCTTCCCTCATCATGAAGTAAGTAAAACTAATTGTTAAAAAATCTTTTTTAGTTAAAGAATCTTTTAGCAATACGTTAATTTTTCAAAGACATGTTTTGTTGCAATAATTGCTAATGTTAGTGTAGGTCAAGTAATATTTCTTAATGCATTATATGAATTTAGCGTATAATTTGTCCTGAACATGAAGAATATCCGGTTAAAGAAACATTGGTGGTTGGTTACTCATAATAATGAAATACCACACCAGCATCTATGTCTGGAATAGACGACAGTCAAAATTTGAAGTGGGAGCGATGTGTTGTAAGAGGGAACGATGTGTGTGAGGTTTTCTGTAGCTCCAATTGCAACTGTTTGTTTTTGAAATAGATCAAAATTAAAACTATCAATCAAGAAGTTATGTTTTTGCATTGGTTCTCTTTAAAACAAACTCTCTTCATCTCTCAGCTTATCATCATGAATCATTGAGTATTTGACCATCTGAAATTGAGTAGAGTTTTCCAGAAAACTGGCTAATGTGTACCCATCGTTTGGCAGATCTGCAGTGTTATTAGTAGCAAAATATTACTAATTTATATATTGTACTCTAGTATTTATAAGTTGTTTATGAACTGTAAAATTTAGTTCTCATTTTTGTGCCTGGTTCTGGTTATCGACTTACATTTTAAAATGTTGCCGGTTCCTAGGTTGTGGGAATTGAAGGTTCAAGGGAGATTGCTTTGGCCGGTGGAAATATACACTGCATTACTCAGCAACACCCAGCCATTTGAGTGGCGGCTCTTAATATTTGTTGATACGTGTTTTTTCCCCATCGATTACAAAAATACTTGTTTGACTTTGTTATGCATGCCTTACCATGTGTTACTAAATGATTATGGCGACAATAAATGAAGCCATGTGTGCGAGTGTTTTTATAACAAAATAAAGAACAGGTTTTGATTCGTTAAGGACCAAAATTAGAATGAGGCATATTTGGTAGGGATTACAAACATTTAACCCTTCCTTAATTAAATTACTTGGTTAGCTAGTCTGCGCCTATTGACAATGCATGCTAATCTCCAAATCCTATAGCTGCATGAAAGTGTATGTTTGCAAATAGATGGAAAACCGTGGAAAACAACGTAATTGATTATTTAAATGGTGAAATCGTGGTTTACTTTTGGTTTCTCGATTGATTAAACCGGAACTTTTGAGGTGGAACATTTATTTTGCTACTATGTATCCACTTTTACGAATTGGATTAGGTGATTTTCGAGAATCAAAAGTGACTGACTTTTTCATTTTTAATTATTAGATCAATGTTTTTTCTTTCAGGTTTTTACCAAGTGTCTTAAAAACATTACAAAATAATTAAAACATTATAGTAAAATATATAAATTACAAATAAAAAGAATTTTGTTTTCCAGGCTTAAAATATTATATTCTTGTAACATACCTATGTTTATTTTTTGTCTCTGCTTTTTTTGTTGTAATTTTTGTCTCTATTGTTATTTTTTTACTGTCTTTGCATGACTTGACTGTTAAATAAATCAATTTCAAGTGAATTTTAACCATTTTGTATTTGACACATCATGTATAAAATACATGATGGAAAAGTAACAATAGGAACAAAAAAAAAGGGACCAAAAACAAAAAAACTGATATATTACCTGGATTAAAAATGTTTAAGCCTAAAAAATAAAATTATTTTTATTTCTATTTCTTATACCTTATATTTTTCTGAAGTATTTAATTCATTTTAGAAAATTTGACGAAATTTGAAAGATAATTATTGTTCTAATGGCTGAAAATAGAGAAAATTACGGTGACTTTGATTCTCCAAATAACCAAATCCTTACCATGTTTTAATTTTATGAAAAATGTATTTTTTTCATTAATTTAATAAATGATAATCATGTATTATCTTCATTGATTATGTAATTTAAAAAAAATTGAGTAACAATAAAAATATTACCAAATAATTTATATATTTTGATTTTTAAAGTATAAGAAAGATCGTTGCTTGGCATATTTGCAAGGACGGAGCCAAGGGGGGACCTACGGGTGCCACGGTCCCCCCAACAATTTTAATTTTTTTTTATATACATATATATTACTATATGGCACCCCCTATTTTTAATATAAACTCATATGTATAATTAAATGAATAACCCAACTTTATTATAAATTATATATTATTTATTCTCGGCCCCCCAGTATTGAAATCCTGGCTCCGTCTCTGCATATTTGTACTTCAAAAAACCCACTAGGCTTATGTATATGGCACATGTCTTTCCACTCTTACTAATCTCTTTGTATGTTGATATCACAATTTGAAATATAAATCATTTTCCAAAGACAATATTAGCCTATGTGAAACTTCTACCTCTTATAACACTTATATATAACATATATCACATAAACTAGTAATTTAGCCCTTGTATTTCACAGGTTTAATGTTTATTATATACTAGTATTTTAGTCTCTAGAATTAGGAATAGTAACAAGACAGGACAAAAGCGGGTGCGAACTTTAATGTGTTTCATTTATGTCTTCCCAAGTATTGGGTATACTCATTCCTGCATGTACTCATAAATTAATTATTTTTTTCAAAAAAATATAAAACTAAATAAATTTTAACAAAGAGCAATAATTACAAAATTATATTAATTAAATTTTATCTGACATAAGTTCAAAATAGAGTAAGAGTTACAAAAAGAAAATTTTCCAAAAAAATCTATGGGCATTTTTATAAATTTAAAGTGAGGACGAGTACAATAATACATATAAGGACTCAGACTAAACGAATAAATATGTATATTCATTTCCGCCCCTGTATCAATTTAATAAATCACGTTTAGCATGGGTTTATTAGTCATCTTTATATACAATACACATGTTAAATGTTTATTATATATAAGTAAAATTTAAAATAAATTATATATATAAATAAATACTATGTTTGACTATCTACATTATATTTAAAATTTAAATAAACATATATTTAAATATATAAATTATATTTTATTATTTTTATTTATTTTAAATATTAAAATTTCACTAATTAATAATTATGATAAATAAAAATTGAATTAAATATAAAATTAAAAAACTTCTAAAAATTATTTTGTTAAATAAAAATTTTCTAAAAACACTTTCATATAATATAGTCATGTTATATATAAGTAAACATTGATTTTGACTTATATAAATAATTAAATACTTTTAGATTAATTTATGATTTTATAAATATAGTCTATATGATAAAACATTAATGGTGATTTTAAAAATAAAATTATTTTATATAATAAGTTATGAAATAGTGTAAAAAGGTTAGTATAAGTTATAATGGCATAATTTAAGAGTTTAATAAAAAATTGTTACACTGTTAATAAATTAGAAAACATTTTTTATATAATTTTAAAATAACTATTAAAAAATATTATATTTAGATAGCGATGTTAAAAAAATTTATATTATCTGTACATATGTTATTTATTTTATATTATCGTAGTGATATTGACATTGTGGATTCTTGGTTCGGTATGTTTGGACCTGGGCTTTATTTGCAATTTTGGATCCTGATCTTGACTTAAGTTGGGCCGGCGCCAATAAAACAAAGGCTTATGATATATACACCTCCTTTTTTTTTTTTTATAAGTACACCTCCTTCTTTTATTTTTTTTATAAAATATTATAATTTTTTTAAAAAATTTTAATTTTACACTTTCAACTTTCAATTTGCTACTTTCTTCTTCTTATTCACACATTTTTTTTCTCTTTCAATTTTCTCATGCTACCAAAATAGGTGAGGTGAAAGAAAAATAAGGGAGTGCATGTAAAAATTAAAAAAAAGATGAAAGATATGTGAAAGAAAAGTACTAAATTAAATATTGTGGATGTAAAATTAAAAATAAAAAAATTAAAAAAATAAAAAAAATTTAATTATTTTTTTTAAAAGGAGGTGTACTTATAGAAAAAAGGAGGTGTCATCAACCTAAAACAAAATATCATAATATTTACTTTGAGGTCCAACGTAAATACATGATGACAAAATGAACAGAGGAGTGGCCCAAATAAATGTAAATCCTGAATAAAACCCTAGTTAGCCAGAAAGAGGGTTTTTGAAGGTTCTTCGTTTCCGAATTGAGAGCAGAGAGAGAGATGGGGAGCGACAGCGAGGCAGAGAAGTCGGCGCAGAAAGAGAAGGAAAAGAAGATATTGGCGCTGTCTCCCATTGCTAAACCCCTCGCCGGCAAGAAGCTTTGCAAGCGAACCCTTAAACTTGTTCGTAGAGGTTTGTTACCTCTCTTTTTCTTCTTCTTCTTATTCTTCTTCTTCTTCCTCTTCTTAACTATATATACTCTTTCTTTCAGCTTCTCAACACAAATGCTTAAAGAGAGGAGTCAAGGAGGTCGTTAAGAGTATACGGAGAGGTCAAAAAGGGTCTGTTTTCTCATTCTCTTCACTTCTTTTTCACTCTGCAAACCCTAATTTTGTGCCCTTTTCATTGCAGGTTGTGTGTCATAGCTGGGAACATATCACCCATTGATGTCATCACACATGTTCCTATCCTCTGTGAAGAGGCTGACATTCCATACATATATGTCCCTTCCAAAGAAGTACCAATACACAACTCACCTTCTTCATTTTTTTGTTTATTTTTTACACACTTCTCCTGTAATCAATTCAATGCCATCAATCTCTCCTTCTGAAAATTCATCATCCAGCCCCAAAAACTGCATAATAAGAACAAACCTCTTTTAGCTCAATTTATGGAGCAAAAAGGATCTTATTAGTTGCCCCTGCATATTTTCAACTGATCTCAACCTTGTATCACAAACCTTATTCCATAAGTACTGACTTTACTATTCTTTTTTACTTCTGCAACCTACACAATTTATCATTATCATTTCACTTTGAATGTGGGAATAAGAGTAGGAGAAACATGTGGAGAATGCTCCCTTAAAAGCAAGCTGTTTAGGGAGAAGAACTAAGCCATTTTAGTACTCTAACAAGCATCTCATACTACTCAATATTAGATATTCAGGCACCCAATAATGTCGAAGTCCCTATCAATATTGTTCTAAAATTGTTGGTTTTTTATCTTCATGCTATTTTATATATTGTGTTCAAGAAACTACAATTACTATGCAAGCTCATATATCGTTGTTATTTATATTGTTTCCCAGGAGCTTGCAGGCGCAGGAGCAACGAAGAGGCCTACTTGCTGTGTTCTGGTAATGACAAAGCCTGCAAAGGGTGAAATAGAGCAAGGGGAACAAGAGAAACTGAAGTCAGATTACGATCAAGTTGTATCAGAAGTTTCTGAGGTTACAGCTTCACTTTTTTGAAACAAGCACACATGTATTTGTACTGTTTGCTCCAGCTTAATTAACTTAGGCAGGAACCTGTGCCTATATTTGTAGTTTTATTTTTCAAAGAGCAAAGAACCAAATGAAGTGCCGTGAACTCATTATTTAGTATAAACTCAAATACTGCTTTAGCGCCACAGTACAGAGAAGTTACTGAGGTTACTGCTTCACTTTTTTGAAACAAGCACACATGTATGTGCTGTGTTTGTCCCAGCTTAATTAAACTGTTGGTAGCAAGGTTGTCAAACTTGAGAGTCTACACAAACTCGTGGAGCTCTGGTAGACTCGACTCGTAGACTCGACTCGTAGACTCGACTCGTAGACTCGACTCGTAGACTCGACTCGTAGACTCG